TCGGCTTTGAGTCTCGTCGAATTTCTTCCATATCATTGTCGAAATAAGATTTAATTATTAATTCACAACCAGAACAAGAAATTCGGCTTGAGCACAAAATACATGCTTGAGCATGAGAACGGTTTCATGATTACAGATCCAGATCCTAGTGAGGGTTTTCTACCAAAGATCATACTTACCTCTTTGAGGTCGGCTGATTTATTTCCTTTCCTCTTGGAAAATCACCATCAAGAACAAATAGGATCTATGAATTGTGAACAAGAGTACTATATAGTGTATATCAGGTCCATTATTCCAAATGACCTCTCGCATTAGAGCGCCTTATATTTCTTCCGTCACTGGCTGAGCAGGAGATCTAGAGAGACCGAGGCCTCCACATAGAGTGCAGACTAGACAGTGCATTTGAAGAATTTTCAGAGGGAAAATGGATCCTAAGTTTTACTTCAAGGAGGTAATAAGAAAAGCGGAACCTCCGTGAGTGACATCTGTCATTATTTCTATCAAGTATCAAGAAGCCTGCACCTCAATGAGAGGTTTTACCGATTCATTGGTATGTCATTCGGGGACAATTTGGTATTCTTTAAAGGGAAACATTTAGCATGTGCATTTATTGACAAAAAGCTGAGCCTACCCCAAAAAAAGATTATTTGTTGTGTTATGTGAATCAGACATGGAAGCATATTAGGAATAAGAGAATGACAGTTTCAATTAACATGTTTGAACTTATTTTTATACCGTCTTTGCTATTGGATTATTTTACCAAATCTATTTCTTCAGTTATTGATTCAATTTATCAAACACAAGTTTCATTATTGTCGTTATTTCTTAGAAATAAACTTCAAAGCGACTTACATGTCATGACAAGGTAAACAGTGATAGTGATAGAAGCCGGATAATAAGAAGGTACCAATAACAATAGAAAATACTGCGATCTCAAGGCTTACACAGGGTTTAATTGACAATAGATATCATGTAAAGGTTAACAAATTATAACAAAGGAAATTTCCCGGTGAAATATCTTCAGCTTCTCTTTCAATCAGCAAATTGTCATTTTCTAGTCTACATGATCGTTACATATATACAATCTGTAATTTCTGAATAAAAGATACCTATACGCTTTCAAACGAATAGACATATCGGACAGGATAAAACGTAGATTAGTAAATTAGAATTGATTAAGTATTAATCACTTGCATCTTCCGAACAAATAGCTTAACGCTCCATACTGGCTTTTCAAGAGCCAGTAGAATTTCCATGCATGAACGTGTAAGATTTTACCGAGAATCTGATTGCAATATACTGACAACAAAAATAAATGTAGCCTCCATTTGAATTACAGTAATGGAGCCCTTTTAATCAAAGTTCAACGTTTTCTTATACATCAAATACTATTTTGTAATACAAATATATTTCCTGACATCACAATATACTATTAAATTGAAAAGTTGTATACGTCTATAGAGCTTTATTCATATTTTATCACATCGTTTCTCTTATATCATCATTTGTCCCTAAATAACAACAAATAACTTAACGCATGCGCTGACCATATACGATAACTCAGTACAATTTTAGTTGATTTAAACGTTCATGTTACAGTAGATCTAAGACATTTTTAAAACGAGATACTAAAAGTGGAAAGCATCCATAAATGTATTTGAGTAAACTGTTCGAAATACGGTCCCATAACGAGTCGAATACTATTTACATTTATGCATCTATAGTGATCGACCACAGTTAGCTGTTCTCATTCTAAATGAGGGTTATTTCAATAGAACAGCTGGTACTTTACTTAAAACACTAACTTTACAGTATGTCAAGTGTAGGACAACATGTAGTTCTCTCTTGTCGTCTGTTTAGGGGACATTGAAGAAACCAAGAAAAGATCTGCTGTATCCCACTGCATGTATATTTTAAAAGGCGTCTAGTGCCCCCCTCCTTCTGCAGAATCAGTATGTTTCTTTCGTGTCTTCTGCTAAGAGGATACAGAAAAGACCAACACTCATCTGAAGCCCCCATTGCAACACCTATTTTTCATGTCTACTTTTATTCTTTCTTTCCTTAGGCCCCGCCCTCACATAACCCTCGATATTGCTAGGAGTTAAACTCCAAGCAAACGCTCAAACAATAAAATGTTGCTACCATGCCAGCACACGTTGAGTGTGGTCTGAGACAACCAAAAAAGACAGCTTAATCAAAATTTAACCACGGGGACTGATAATCCACAAGAAAAAAGTAAATCGATGCAGTAGTACACTTTGTGACTGTACCCTATACAATGCATATCCATTTCGTTCATTTAGACATTTCGAACATAAGCAACAGCTGTGCTTAACTCATTCATCACTGAAGACACATTTGAGCTATTTCATTCAAAGGTGGGAATAGTTCATTATGAAATTTCAGGGGTATATGAGTTAAGGGCCAAAAGAATTGAAATTGAAATGTTCCTAAGTTTGTGTAAAATTAATGGAAATGCAAAGGGGCGTATAAATCCATTGAAACGTTGAAAATATGCAACTTTTGACTGGAAAAGATAACTGTTCTACTATTGCATGTAGACCGTGCCAGAATAAATTCAAGCTGCAAGACTAGCAAACATCTCCTGTTACTGACAGTTTGTCAGCAGAGCAAACATCTTCTGTTACTGAAAGTGTGTCAGCAGAGCAAACATATTCTGTTACTGAGAGTTTGTCAGCAGAGCAAACATCTCCTGTTACTGACAGTTTGTAAGCAGAGCAAACATCTTCTGTTACTGACAGTTTGTCAGCAGAGCAAACATCTTCTGCTACTGACAGTTTGTAAGCAGATCAACCATCTTCTGTTACTGACAGTTTGTCAGCAGAGCAACCACCTACTGTTACTGACAGTTTGTCAGCAAGGCAACCATCTTATGTTACTGACAGTTTGTCAGAAGAGCAACCACCTTCTGTTACTGATAGTTTGTAAGCCGATCAAACATCTTCTGTTACTGACAGTTTGTAAGCCGATCAAACATCAGTTTGTAAGCAGATTCATCTTCTGTTACTGACAGTTTGTCAGCGGATCAACCACCTTCTGTTACTGGCAGTGTTTCAGCAGAGCAACCATCTTATGATGTGAGAAAACTAAGTTAAGAAGGCATTATTTTAAATCTAGTAAATCGGTGCAGTGAGCAAAAGTATTTTATTTCACAACATTCACGGCAAAAAAAATAACTTGAACAAATCAAATATAAATGTCAAATTGATAAAGAGTAAAAAATTGTTACCTATAATGTATTTCAGATCCATTTTAGAATGTTGATTGAATGACAGTAGGGGTAAAGGCTTCTTTTTGAAGTCCATTGTGAAAGTACCTGCATTTTTTTTATGAAACATTTTAATGCTGATGTATAATTACCCCAAACTAACTCAATATATTGCTAAGCATTACATCCTTTCCTGTTGTTTTGAACCATTATATGTCAAGTGTCTGTTAAAACGAAGCTTCCGTATGGTTATCATGATCACTGGCCGATATACCGGCAAGAAAAGCCTGGCACATATGGGTTTTATTATTTGTTTTGTTGAGAACAGATGAATGGTATTCCTAAATATAATTTTAACAATCAAAAGTTAACACAATAAATATCTATCAACGCATTATAATGTTTTGATTTTTTTTTTTTTTAGAAAATATTCGAACCGTGCAGAATCTGGCAACATGGACAGTTTGTATAATGTTATATAATGTTTCTTCATTGGAATGCGAATCAACTGAAACATGTTTTTGTTTTTGTTTTTTTGTTTTGTTTTTACATATAAACACACATATGCAATCGATGTTAACCAAACGCTAATGAGCGTGTTCATAGCGGCCATGTTTGATGTCATATCGAGTGTATACATGTATGTCAGACAATTGAAGACACATTTCAATAAATATCAATAATTGATATCAAATGCGTCATATTTATGTTTGATCCAAATTAAAACAAGTAATAGCTTGGTTACATCGCGGCGATTACAGGGCGTGAAATAATAATGTATATCATATACTATCTCATGGTCACGGTTTCCCTTTCACGTTCTAAAACACGTTGGCGACTTACGTGAGTTAATGAAAAATAACCGTATTTATGCATGAGGTGAGCTGGCAGATAACCAACTCTGATAAGTAATCAATAGACGCCAACGGTCCGGTAAGCCGCAGCGCGTGTCTCTACAAACCAGCGCCGGTGGAGGTGTCGTCTGAATCCTACACTTCATACAGGCTTGTTGGAATCCTCAGCATCTAAAGTAAAGATAATTTACAACAACTCTAAACAAAACACGATTCTGTTTGTGGTAACATTGATAAAAAACAAAATCCTAATTCCACATTATTCATTTGGAGCGAAGACGTGACGGAATACTATATTTTGTGTGATTTTGAAGTGACTGACGCACTTGCTGAATTGAGTAAAACCGAAACTGATTGGTATCTTAGGTCAACAGCAGCAACATTTCATTCCCCAATATAACCTGTACAAACGCGAGATCAGACAATGAAAGCCATTGGCATAAACGTTGAACAATGGAAACGTTTCTCTGAAGGATGTACTGCCGCAAACATCTCGAAATTCGAATTTTTCCCCGGATCGGGATTATTGTTAAATAAGTAATATCATTTTTTATTATGGATGGGTACTTGTTTTGAAAGAAAAAAAAAGTTTTGTTAAAGATCAGTATTTACTGATTAAGATTGTATTTTTTTTTTTTATATTTATACAGTGATTATATTCAGGATAAAGTTTTGATATCGGTTTTCTTGACGGAAAATGAGATAAGTATTATTTAGACGGAATATTTTGTTTAGCGTGTTGATGGCGGAATAGTAAGATTTTGATTGAAGACAGGATACATTTTCTTTTAGCGAAAACAATATGGATCTTAGGACTGTTTATATACTATGCTTGTCCGTGCTTGGTATATCACTTTTTCCTTATTCCTTACAATGTGTGCGCTACTACCGTAATGAAGACGTACCTTACAGTGTCGCGGGGTTGTTGAATGATGTGACTGTGGCATCAGTGCTGCACTGCGCAATGAATTGTGTCCTTCAGTATTGCTTCTCTTTCTCATTTGATACGCAAACCAGAACATGCAAAACGTACGGGAACGACACATATAACGAGACGAAAAACTCAACGTCATTGTTCGGGAGTTATATAATGATAACAACTGGTGAGTATAATTATCAATATATTCACACTTGTCCTAAATTATATATCAATATATATTGACTGTTTCTTTAAATGAAGAAAAGGTTACATCTTTTATATACAAAGAAACGAACACCTTAATTTTAATGTCATTTTTAGGTAAAAAGTCAAATAAGTTAATATTTTAATGCGCAATATAGTCATATTGTCCATTTAGGATTAATCATTGGTTCAAAAGGTCAAAAGAAAGAAAGAAATATGAATTATAAAAAACCTGAAACATAATTCCAGCTTAAAGGCTATATGATTCTTAAATAAATTACATTTTAATCATGACGTAATGAAAATTACTTATATCGTTTGGTGCAAGTGTTGCTATTGTCTTTGTATAAAGACAAATACCAATATTAAAAAAAATGTAATTCGAGCTCACAATCAAGAAATTAGAGCTAAATATTAACAATGAAAAAACCCAAAAAAGGTACATGGTCTCTTAGTTTAAACTATATATATTTTATTCATGTCAATTAATATGTACAATTACAACGACATTTCATTCTGATGATTGGGAAACAAGTACTATTGTACTTACACACAGTCCTTCTCATCGTTCATAACAAGCTTAGCTTATAATACATGTATAACTTTGCAGTGATAGCCTGAATATGTACATAAGAAACTGTTAAGAAAAAACAAAATAGAACATGATATATGGATAAAGAAAGTAACTGACTTTTGATTTGATAAAATTATGAGTATCTATAACAAATGTTACGTTTTGATCATACGTTTTCGAATCACCTCCAAACTGAAGTAAATCAACATGGGCTCTGAATACGAAAACACAAGAGTTCGTGGAATGCCGCTTATACTGAAAACTCGATATATAAGCAAAAAGAGTAATAGCGACAATACAAATTGTCAAATTTCAGAGCGATCGACTCGCATATCAAGAAATATAAACATAATAACACGAACAAAATACCGAATACAAATGAAATAAAAGTATTGTTATATAAGCTACAGGCAGCAAGTATACTGACCGCATCGTTGGTCGTTGTTTACTAAATTAACGATATAAAGCTGTAAATATGCATTGCGTGTGAGATTTTTAAATATGAAAATCTTCCTCAATTGTACATTTTTCGAAATGAAGTTAGGAAACTGCAGTTTTCTGATTTCCTATAAAAGAAAACTATCGCTCATTCTTTTGAACAATTTTTTCTCACTTATTTCCACAAAGAAAAATGCGGGTGTTACAATGCTGTGTCTGCATAATGCAGCTGGCACACTTACGGTCATCCTCGATATCCAGGAGTTACGAGCACTTTCGCTCTCTTCGCCCATGGCTCAGTGTGAGCCACTTTGTTGATGAGACAAGAAGACTAGTCCGATCCTTTGATATACATCAAAAGAATCTCGCGGTCACGTAACGGTAAAAAATGAAGTCGGGCGTCTCTCCTTTGTCATCTTCAAAGGACAGGTATCAGCCGAGCGATTGGTCAATTTGTTTTACCTGATACCAATCAAATAGCTTTCTTCGTGTTTTCAATTTTGCTATGACATATTCCAGGGGTGTAGAGAGCGAAAGTGAGCGTAACCCCTGGATATCGAGGATGACTTACGGTATAACTTAAAATTGTTGGCCAATATTTCGACCTAAGCATTAACATTTATGAATATCCTGTATGTGTTTTGAACCACAACTAGACTGTTTAAAGTATAATGTTATGTTAATAATTGATAATTGTTCGAATAGAAAGGAACAAGAGAGATATATTATTTTCGTGTTTTATTTTGTTGTTTGTCTATATAAATATTCCTGTTCCTACTGCTTTGTACGTTTTGTACGTCGAAAGGAAGTTGAAAAGAACTTGCCGGGGTATGTCTTACAAAGTTATCCATTATTTAAGAACTGATTATATTATTATACCATGTCTGATCGGATAAAACGCATAACAAAATCGTTTAATACATCATATCTCCCGTTAACACTTACCTCCGTTCGGAAGTTCACAGTTGGTGACGGATTCGGTCCTGAGTAGTAAACACAGTATGGAGGTTTTGGCTTCTCCTGATGTGCCTCATTATGCCCGTACCACAGCCAAAACACGTAAATATGGTGGCAACAAATTTAGCTCCTCAGGTCTTACGGTCCAGACATGACCTTAGGTTTGATAAATCACCTCTGAAAAGAAAACCATATCTTGGGACATTTATCAAGAAAAGAAGATTAAATAAACAAACCAGTAGTGTTCTGTGAGCAATATAAGGATTCGAACCCTGAATATTAGATTGTTAAACTGTCGCTTCAACCAACAATGGGGAGGTTACTGACTAAAAATCATAGTAGAATCTTCTGGTGGTTTGCCTTCAGTGGGACAGGGTTTCTAGTTGAAGGATTGAACACCACTAGTACAATTATCTGGTTATTTTGGGTGAACCTTTCGGTAAACTTAGTTGTTTACCGTTGACGTCATCCACAGACAACAAGCTCCACGAGTAAACAAAAAAATGATCATTTATAAATAGATTTCTGCAATAATAACAGCATCTATTGCGTGTAGAAGAATCACTCAACGGAGAAAGATATCAAAAATCACCCCAACACAGATTGTGTAACATGACGACTGACACGTTTTTCTTTTAGAGTCGCTTTTTTTTGCGGTATAAAAAGCACTGTATTGACCTCAAAGAAGGGAAATACGAAGGTTTGTTTCACAATGAATCATAATCCCCCCAGGATTTACCGGTCACAAACGTCCTTATCTTCCTACTCCCTAGACAATAGATGTTTAATGTATGATTTCTGCATGATTAAGGTTTCAATTATTTATTCATTTTTCTGTGGGTTTTTTTCCCTATTTTTTTATATTCCCTTTAATGTCTCATAAAAAGATGTACAAGATATTCAGATAAGGGACGCGGTGGCCAGGTGGGTAAGGCGTCTGACATTCTGCTACCACTAGCCCTCCATCACTGGATCACTGGTTCCAGGCCTACCTGGGGCAGTCGCTAGGTAATGGCAACAGTTCAGTGGTTTTTCTCCGGGAACTCCGGCTTTTCTCCACCATTAGAACCAGCAACGTACTTAAATGAACATTATAATAAATAATAATAATTTACAACACTTGATATAGCGCCCTATCTAGCTAACATAAGCCACTCTAAAGCGCTTTACATTACATAGATATACAATTAATACAATTAGGATATATAATTTTTGAGGAATTTGCAGGAGCTGACTTATCAGGCGCTAACTACTAACATATATGCTAATAGGACGTAAAACCCAAACGAACCGAACCAAACCCCCAGGCAATATCTGTTTAATATATTCGGTCTGCATGATTGAAGTTTCAATTATTGATTAATCTTGTATGTTTTTTCTTTTCTTTTTTAATTTATATTCCCTTTGAGATCTTATAAAATCGATATTATTAGTTATACAGGTCTTTGGCAGGGTACATGGTCTCATGTTCGCTGTCAGGACTTTATGTACCCTGAGCCGAAGGCTTCAAATTTCTAGTGATTAGGTGGTGAGATTTTTAATGTTTTCATTTTCACACATATTTCCATAAATTAGTGAGAATTGGAATCCACCTAAAATGAATCCCTCGAAAAGGAAGTTTTGTTTAAATCTGTGAAATATTGAACCAGGGAGAAAAAGAATTTAGCACGTTTTTCGAAACAATATAAAAAAAAGTCGTTCAATATATCAGACGGGTAATTTATGACGTTTTTGTTATTTTTATTGTAGATCCCGTCGACTGTGGTGATATATGTTGTACGAACTGTTCTGGTGTGTATCAAATAACGCCAGTGTCAGGCACTTCATTTCATGTGTTTTGCGATATAGATACAACAGGAGGCCCATGGACTGTAAGTACAATTGAATTTCGAAGACGAAGATACCCCTATGTCCCTTCATGTCGACATATCGCTGTGTACATTAGTGAGACGCTTTTAAATACTTTTTTGACGTCTCTTTGATTCTTAGTTGATGGTTTTCAATATACATGTATTGCCCTTACTGTTGGAAAACATGATTCTTTGTGTCTCAAATGTTGAATATGTTTTACGAGCGAGAAGCCCGAATGAAACATGATGATTTGAAGAGAAACAAATAATCGTATTTCCCTGCAGGAAGGCCAATTAATGTATTGTCAACGCGAAATAAATCATTCAATCAAAATTAACAGTAGAGCTGATGACGTTGACCTCATTGCTCCGAATAAGAAAAATATAATCAGGGAAATTTAAGCGCGTGGATGGAAATAATGTTTTATTACACCGTCGTGTGACCAGTATAAGCCAATCAAAAACGCTGCTATCAAGATGAGGTATATAAATATGCTTTGTCCTTTCAACAATGTTTTGCATATTTTAAAGGTAATCCAACGACGCTTTGATGGCTCAGTCAACTTTTATCGAGGCTGGGACGATTACAAATTGGGATTTGGAAATCCGAGTGGCGAATACTGGTTAGGTAATTAATTATGTCATCTAATTTGAATATTCATGTTTCGAGCGCTGTATCGCCCTCTTGCTTTGCTAAGCTAGACTAAATCTTACTTCTGAGCAATTTACATAGACTATCGTCCGAGATGAAAAAATCTACGTAGATGTATTTTAGCTCTGCTTTTCTGAACGAAGCACTGATTTTTAGTATGCACCACTTGTTTTTAGATCTGTTTGAAAATATCTATCTCCTGAAAGATACGATTTGTAATGTACTTGAAGAAAACATAAGATAATTGCACTAGCCCTAACTGATTTACACAATTTAAACAACTAAGTTAGGGTATATGGTATTTTTCCAGGTCTAGACCGGACTTTTCATAGTCACTGCTATCAAAATAAAGAATGAATACACCAGTATTTAAACATCTGAAAACTAAAGAACTATTTTTGCAATTAATATAAGGTGGTAAAAGCACATACATTGTTTATGAGCCGATGTCTTTTTAGTTCTGTTTTTGATCTCGACCTTGGTATCAGAACGTCGTAAAATTGCATGTACATAGCATGGATCTGGTACATATAGAAACCTTAAGGGATGACTTTTTGTATAACATCAAAAAGCATTACCCTATTATAAACGGCACTATTATGTTCAATTGGATTTGTTTTTCTAAATTAATAACAACTTAATGGCCTAGTAGAAGGTTTTGAAATGTTTTATGAAAAGGAAATATTCCACTTAATCTGCTTGGCTATATAAAGTATGTGGTTAGCATTAATATAACTATATGCATTTGTACTCGAGGAGAAGGCGTTGTTAAGTTGACATAACTTGTGCCTGATTTCTCGCTGCACAAAAGTGTAAGCAATAAATACGTTTGAACATGTTGAAGATAATCAAATTACTGAAAATCAGTGAGAAAAAAAGAAATTGAAGTATTCATATATTTATCAATTTAATTTGTACTCGTTATCTTTATTATATTAATAGGTCTAGACTATATATACAGTCTCCTCAGCCTGGACCAACAACTCTATATTTACCTGGAAGGATGGGATGGCACCACAGGATATGCGGCGTATCAGACATTTGTCATAGAGAACGAAACACAGAAATATAAGCTAACACTTGGAGGATTTGACGGCAACGTTGGTAAGTAGCTTTTCTAAGCTTACAACAAATATATCATGTGAATACATTTTTTTTCGATTTTTTAAGCATTTCATTTGATTTAGTAAACAGCATATACTCGTTGGCGCGACGTGCATAGTTTATGACACTTGTTAAATGATCTTTCAACCGATACTAGTTGCATAATAAGGACAAAATTAAGAAACAAAAATACATGAAATAAGGTCAACAAATTTAACTGTACTTTCATCTGTATAATAACTATTGTCACTATTGTGATACATTTTAATAATGCCTTTTAAAAAGTAGAATTCCAAAATAGCCTGATCTTGTGTATGGAGTTATAGTCGGTCGGTTAAAACACTCATAATAATTACGGGGTAAAGCTTACATCGTCTAAACGATTGTCCAAGCCTATGAAAAAAGCAATGAACATAATAAAAGAGACGTAATTTGAAGTTACTGTAAGGAAAACATAAACTCTTCAATAAGATTCATCAGTTTGGAAATATGTTACATCGAAGTGTTACCTTTTACACAAATTATGTACGTATTAAACATGTCGCAACGTTTAAAGACTGATTGGTCCCTTTGTCAAGCTATGACTGAGTGATTTACCTTGTATAACGATGTGACAAAGTTGTATATTTTCATGTCACTCGACCCGAGACGTTTCGCCTATCGATAGGAAGCTTATACACACTGCATCAGATAGGTTACAGGTAGGGTGTAGATCAAGTTCCCTCCCCTGTTATGTCAGTATCGGGTCATACAGATGATTCAGCAATACAAGTTCATATACCCGACATCAGAAAACATGCCAAGATTGTATTGCACGCCCAAAATCCATAAACCGGGCTACCCGTTGCGTCATATAGTGGACTACACTGGGTCGATTGGTTACAATCTGTCACGATCCCTAGCAGATATACTGTGGCCATTGGTAGATACAACACAACACAATGTCAAGAATTCCAAACATTTAACATCTGACTTGGAAATGTAATTATTGAAGAACAAGACATTTTCAATTTTCAACACACCAGTACAAGAGGCCATCAATATCATCAGAGAGAGATTAAAAGCAGACAAGACACTTCATAAAAGAACAAATCTATCAGTAGACAACATCATCGAACTACTAGCATTTGTCATTGACACGACATACTTGGTATTCAGAGGTTAGTTGTACCAACAGAAATACGGTACTGCTATGGGAAGTCCTGTGTCACCGATAGTCACGAATCTGTTCGTGAAATACCTTGAGCGCCATTTGATTGGCACCAATAGAAAGCGGTCCCAAACTTTGGAAACGATCTGTGGATGGCATCGTAGAAATAGTTAAAAAGGGAGCAGTGCAGGGCCTTACAGATCGCCTGAACCAAGTGGACAAAACAAATTACATTAAATTTACCCACGAGGAGGAAAAGGACGGAACCATACCATTCTTGGACACGCTCATCTTCCTCAAAGAAAACGGCACCATCAAAATTATTAGTGTACCGCAAAAAGACACACACTAATCAATATTTGCTTGGAGTCGTACGTACACTCCTCGACAGATGCAACAACATCCTCACAGAGCAGGAAGATAGACACAGGGGAAAACAGCACATAAAAGATGCACTCAACCGTTGTGGCTACCCCGACTGGTCAATAAACAAGGTGAAAAGAGCGGTAAAAGAAAAGACAGAAAAAGGAAAACCGAGAAAAAAGAAAAGTAATGAAAGCCAAACCAAAAGCAAAGGCTGGGTCACAATACTCTACGTGAAGGGGACAGCTGAGGCGTTTGCACAGGAGATGAGGAAGCACCATTTCAGCACCCCGATGAGACAACTGACAACCCTCAGACAGTTACTGGTGCACCCCAAAGACAAGACTGACAATTTAGACAAACAGAAGTTGTATATCAAAGTCCATGCAAAAATTGTCAACAATCATATATAGGTGGAACTGGGAGGAAATTTGTTACACGTCTGAAGGAACATCAAAACGACGTAGAGAAATGAGCAAAATCACATTCGCCAGATCCACACTCAAAACATCTGCCACCCAGTACAATAAATCGGCATTAACAGATCACGCTAACACCCAAAATCACATCGTCGATTGGGGAGATGCCAAAATAGTTTAAAGGGAACAACACACAAAAACGAGACAAATCAAAGAAGCAATCAAAATCAGGAAAACTTAGAACATTGAACAGAGACGAGGGGTAACACCAGCTGAGTCATCTGTATGACCCGATACTGACATAACAGGGGAGGGGGCTAGATCTACACCCTACATTTAACCTATTTGATGTAGTATGTATACGCTCCCTATCGATAGGCGGAACTCTGTTTGGTTGCCTTGTTTTGAATGCAGAAGGGAGAATACTCATAGTAAAAAAAAATCTACGAGTAAAACTTATCTTCGCTAATTTAACTGATGCACTCTTTACTCCTATTTTATATATATATACATGTATATACTAAATTCACAGTATCATAACACTTTTTAATTCGTATGTATTTCGTGTTTTTCCAGTGGATCAGTTCGATAACCACAATCAGTATTATTTCTCCACCTTCGAAGTCGATAATGATATCAGCACTCGAAACTGTGCAGAATTTGGACGAGGAGGTTGGTGGTACAGGAATTGCTACATGTGCAACCTGAACGGACTCTACACTACGGACACAGGTCTCAATGTGTCCAGGTCTATGAACTGGAACTACTTCTACTCTGACAGACGCCAACCACCATTGAAGAAAACTACCATGATGGTGAGAAGGAAAAATATACCCTAAAAGAACAAGAAATAACACGGAAAGAAACTCTAGCTAGCAGCGGAGATATGGACTTGCTGTGTGTTTTTTTTTATTAAATCTCCCAATTATCGGTAATATAAGCTTGGGTTGGTTCAAGTAAGTGAGTTCTTGAAGGAAATTATTATTGTCATATTTTTGTCTTGTCATACAGATTTGTCTACTGCAAACATAACGAAATGAGCAAAAATAAATCACCTGTGCAAGCCGTACATTAAAACTAAATGTTAAACGTTCTAAATTTGAAAAATGAATGTGGTTTGTTTTCCTCAAATTTCTCTTTTTGTTGTAGTATAACATGTATATCATTACGTCTATATAAATATATGTCAGTGATTGTTTTATGAATACAACACAGTTATGTCAGTGATTGTTTTATGTTCATAATACAGTTATGTCAATGATTGTTTCATGTACATTATACAGTCATGTCAGTGATTGTTTTATGTATACAACACAGTATGTCAATGATTGTTTTATGTATACAACACAGTTATGTCAATGATTGTTTATGTACATAATACATTTATGTCAATGATTGTTTATGTACATAATACAGTTATGTCAGTGATTGTTTTTTGTATACAACACAGTTATGTCAATGATTGTTTATGTACAAAATACAGTTATGTCAATGATTGTTTTATGTACATAACACAGTTATGTCAATGATTGTTTATGTACATAATACATTTATGTCAATGATTGTTTATGTACAAAATACAGTTATGTCAATGATTGTTTTATGTACATAACACAGTTATGTCAATGATTGTTTCATGTGCATTATACAGTTATGTCAGTGATTGTTTTTTGTATACAACACAGTTATGTCAATGATTGTTTCATTTACATTATACAGTTATGTCAGTGATTTTTTTATGTATACAACACAGTTATGTCAATGATTGTTTATGTATACAACAAAGTTATATCAATGATTGTTTTATGCATACAACACGGTTAGATCAATGATTGTTTTATGTACATAATACATTTATGTCAATGATTGTTTATGTACATAATACAGTTATGTCAATGATTGTTTTATGTTTACAACAAAGTTATATCAATGATTGTTTTATGCATACAACACGGTTATATCAATGATTGTTTTATGTACATAACACAGTTATATCAATGATTGTTTTATGCATACAACACGGTTAGATCAATGATTGTTTTATGTACATAATACATTTATGTCAATGATTGTTTATGTACATAATACAGTTATGTCAATGATTGTTTATGTATACAACAAAGTTATATCAATGATTGTTTTATGTATACAACACGGTTATATCAATGATTGTTTTATGTACATAACACAGGTATGTCAATGATGATTTTTTCATGTCAACAACACGGTTATGTCAGTGATTGATTTATGTATACAACAAAGTTATGTCAGTGATTGTTTTATGTATACAACACAGTTATGTCAATAATTGTTTTATTTATACAACTGGAGAACAGGGCGTTGACAATGATGAGACAATTTGTATCACATCGTGTCACTGTTTTGTTTACATCCAAACATCTTTAGATAAATAAAGAAAGTACGGTGTAAGGGATGTTAAAAGTTTGTCTAAGGGTCGATAGGGAAAACAAAAAATTGGTAAACGTTTTACTGTACAATATGGCTATTTCTTTAACTCAAGAGAGTGGCTAAAGTGTTCCGAAACACGTAGAACTACGGGTAAAGGCAAAAGGACGCTATTTTTAACACTTTATAGCGTTACAAGTTATCTAAAATTGAAGAGAAATTGTATTGCAACGTTTTGTATGGTGTGCATTTTTATTATAACGTTAAAAATGATAACGTTGCTTTGGAAGGGTTTCGGCCACGTTGTGGAATCGCTTACCATCTGTGCTCGGTTGTTAAAAACTATCGTTAAGCTAACGATGTCGTTAAACCCTGGTTAGCGAGTCGTTAAAAGTTAACGACGTCGTTAGCTTAACGATAGTTTTGAACAACCGGGCCCTGCTATTAGAAAGTCAAATACCCAGGCCATATTCAAGAAGGACATCAAAACTCTTCACTCTTCACGTCTGTATTTTAGACTCTTTGAACAGACGTCATGTACATACCACCCTTTATTTATTCATTTATGTGCACATTGCGATTATGTTCTTGCTAAATGTATGATGGTGATTGTAAGCCATTTTTGTTTCACAATAATAACTAACACTATTATCCAGTGTTGTAAAGCGCTTTAGAGTACTTTTACAAATTATAGGGCGCTATATAAATGTTTTTATGTTTATTATTATCATTAATATAGTAACCAAAGAAATTGATTGTTGTGCCGGTTTGGGGTAACGTAATAATGTACGCGATGATTGTTTTTCCTCCGTTTTATCTGTAAACGAATTTTAAGCTTGATGATTCCAAATGGATTGCTTATGTGTCAATATATGACAGATCTATTGTACATGACCTTTGTCAAACTGTTATCACCACATATACGGTAGCTTGCGGTTACATTTTCTATAAATTTATCATTCAGGTGCAGATGGAATATTTTTAAGTCGTTTATGAACTGCACAATGACGTTCGGAGTGACTGAAATCATGTTTAGAGTCTGGGCTTAATGATGAAGCAAAATTCGGGATCTTGCCCTATACCAACAAAGACACAACCGAGGAAGTACGAACTGCTGTGCAAGGTGTCTTCCAGAGTGTTAGAGGAGACCAAATATGGTTTACCTCAAAGCAGATGTTGTCGAACATGAGCAAAAAGTAACTGACGTTTAATTTGTTGTCGGTGTCATTTACATGTAAATAGCATTGTAACGATGTTGCAACCATACACACAATATTAGTAAGTGATTGTGTTTTGTTGTAATGTGTTCCTTGTAATAATAACATACGTTATGTACATATCATACTACGATTCTCAGAAAACAAGTGAACTGGTGGAGCGATTACCGCCTGCTATCAAGTAATTATATCATAATCAGCTTTTTTTTTATATTCACTTCAAGCAATTGTCATATCTTTTCCAGATATCTTCTATCTATTTGCATATATTTGTTTTTGTTAAAAGAAATGAAAATTGATTTGCGATTTACTTTCAGTCTTTTATTGGTGTCACGCCTCATTTAACACACGTGTAAAGTCATAACCGGAAGTTCAATGGAGCGTGACATCATTTCCTAAGTCTCCTTAAGGTCATTGGAGTGTATTGATAAACGGAAACAGGAAGTACATCCCTAGTTGAATAACCAATGTAGGGAGACAGCATCACAATTTCCGCAAATTCTAATGTTTAATATTAGATTATATTATAATTTTTTTTGTGGCAGAAAATTTTCTTAGGTTTAAAGCAATATAACTACCAAATTTGAAAAAAATCTACTGAGAAATGGTGACACAATCCTATTACCTTAAGCATTCTAGGAGTGGCACCGTGGTATTGAATAAATTGGAGTCACTTTTGTGTGATATGAAAGTATGCACGAATCGTGTGTTATCGATATTGGAACGGCTTCTCCAAAATATGATTGGTGTATTTGTTGACTTCAATAAATCAATTATTTTATCAATATGGAATGTTTATTCTTGTCTATTGTGACAAACCTACAGAAAATATACCTATATGTATATAGTTATCTGTATTACTTGCTATAAACGGGTTTTTTCCTGGTCCTGACAGCAGCTATACCATACAGGTGAATGTATGCAAACTCCACTGTAGCAGATACAATGTAACTCGCCGGTTAAGAGGCAATATACATCAGACAATTGTTGAAACATTTTCAGAATATTTTTAGTTCCTACACAGAAATGAAGGATAGTTCGGCTCACTGACTTCGAATAGCAGAAAAGTAGCCAATTCACTTAAATAATTAGATTAAAATGATTGTAAAAAGAAAATATAGGTTCAAAGGGAATGCTTTTATTATTGAATATAACACTCTCTGTTATTGAAAAGAATATATCATTAGATGTATTTCATGGTCCAAGTGATATTGCTATTACTTTATATCAGAATTAAATAAACCGATAAGATTTGTGCAAAATACATCTTCTAAATATTGATGAGAGATTGAAATGACCGTCAAAATTATTTACTTGATACAACAAAATGATGTTAATCAAAACATTACAAATAATTGAAGGAAACTGAGACATTTAAAGGATAGTTCATAGAGAGTAAAAAAATCGAGAGAAAAGTTTTTACACTTTGGATTGAGCCATAAACAACGTTGTTAGACTATTGATTCTGTTAGACAATATCAAATATTTGAAATTCGTAGAAATCATGTCACCAACCGATCTCAAAAACCTAAAACTTATCACTTAATAAGTAGAGGAAGAAGTGCGCGGAGGTGTATGGACTACTTTTGTAGTTTATTTAATGAGGCTGACATTGTTAAAGCATTCTTACAATTTGAGCGAACACTGTACTAAAATATTTATACAAAAACAAATTTCGGCTTAGGTGTATTATTTAAAACGCAAAGATACGTGATTACCAACTGAATAGCAAATGCCGATAACTCCAAGTTAAATATAAAGACTATGTTAGTGGCAGAAAATGTCATGCAACCGTCATATACATTGTAACATTCATTTAAACTCAAACGCGTCGCACTTAAAACTCTTCCGTTGATGCATTATTGTTACAATGTGTATTAAAACGTTGAAACATAACAAGGAAAGTTCAATTATTTCCCTGCTTAAGGGGAAGGGGGTGATAAATCCCAAAGGCAAATGCGCTCTTTCCTATATTGGCTCCACCTGGGTTTATTTGAACTCATAAAAAACATGACAACCAAAACCAAGAAAATGAATAAAGGGCCATGACACGGAGATCGGAGTATAGAGGGGCGCGAGAACCAAGACCAGTATGCGACAGACACATCGTCTTCTCAAAACAAAAGTTCAGTGGATGCAGAAATTACACCTAGATAGTTTAATGATTCTTTTCTCTCGGGTGGAATTTCCCTATCCTACACCTCTATGCAAGAAAGAGTCTTATATTATTCTATATATGGTAACGCGTGTAAAATGTTCATAACATGTTCCTTCGAGTCCTCTTCCAAAAGTTGAAATACATCTCCAAACAAAGCGTGTTTATAACCTGAAATTTACAGGAAATGAATACTTACTGTATATTGTCAAGGTTAATCACTGATGACAAAATAGGTGATCCTGCAGTTGATTGATATTCTAACATAGGGTTTCCCTGCACGTTCTGGGAATAAATAGACCTGCTGTAACCCCACTACATATCGCAAGAGGCGACTAATGTGGGACCCTGCAGAATCAAGGACTTTTTTGTTTCCTCTGCTAAGGGGACATTGAAGGAATCACAATTGATCTGCTGCCCTCATTGAAAAATTTGGGATCTTTGTATTTTCTCCCTATTTCCTTAAAACTTCTCTGTTTCCTAGTGACTTGCCTGGAAGTACCTCATTTTGGCCGAAGTGTTGAGCGTTCGCCCAAGTTGGATAGACAATGGGTTCTGTCCCCAGGCCGGGACATACCAAGGTCCTTAAAATGGTATTTGTAATTCCCTGATTAACGTCCATACGGTGTTATCGCAAAAACTGGTTACCTCGTCGTCGGTATGATGTGACTATCACAAGCAGGCAAATACCCAACATACCCTGCCTCGAGCACACACACAAAACAAATGGAGGTACGTCCAGAAATGACCTTCGCTGTTAAGGTAATAGGATTGTGTCACCATTTCTCAGTAGAAATTCTTCAATTTTTGTAGTTATATTGCTTTGAAATAAAGAAAATTTTCTGCCACAAAAAATAAAATAAAAAATAGGTTGTCAGAATTTTAAGGATTTTAAATGGAAATTCATGTAAAAAGGAGTGAATTTTGAAAAATAAAAGGAACAATTATGACAGCAGATTTTGCAACTTCGTGTATTTGTATATTATACTTATGAGGAGGAAGCAGTAAAATAAAGATAAAGCTACAAAAACAAAACTGATAATTGATGGATGTACAATCCAATTGTAAGTTTCTGTATTTTAGATAGACAGTAGAAATATAGTGTAAACAATATTTTACACACTGTTACAAGATGTAAGCTAACCTCAAAGTACGTTTGTAACACAATATAATGCTACCCAGAGCTAATTGATGTTATTTAAACATAACCAAGGGTTTGTTTTTTAATTTGTCTGTCGGTTAGTTGTCATATTGCACTGTTGCTTGTAATATTTTATCAATTCTTACAAATGTTGAGTGTTGTGTTACGCCATGTACTCATTTGGGGCCGTGACCAGGATTGCCCAATAAAAAAGATATACTCAGAATGTTAACTTAAATGATTTGTTGACTGGAAATTGCAATGAATACAATTGTGGAAACACAAATATTAACGAATATTGTCGAGGAAACGAGCTAAAATGATCATCGTTTACTGGCAACATATTTCATAATTGAAGCTGTACCCATTTCCCGTCGTTTACTGATGTTGATTATTGTGGTTTATGTTTATCCCCAGGAAAGGAGAATATCTTCTCTCAACTAAGGTAATGTCTGATAATGCCCCGTCTTTGGGAAGGTATTAATTAGGTTTGATGTTTCCAGGAAGATAAAGGCAACAGATGTTCCTTGTGCGAGTGTGTTGCTTGTTTTATATATTTTGATTAAATGTGGAAGTAATGTATATATATTCAATATAGATTACTCTTGTATTGTACACTTCTTGTTGATCAACTATGACTTGATGATATTGGAACCATGACGATTTCGAAAATATGCACTGTACCGATATTTTAGTTCCGTTTTCTAGTGTGTTGAGACTTTGCATAGACAAGAGCCCCAATGGGCCTGAATCGCTCACCTGGTATTAATCTTACACTTATAATCTTAAAAGTGGACTAATATACAGCTACAGGAAAAATATCTGTGTTCGACTCATTTGAATCTATTAAATGATTTAAACAAATGACGCCTGTAACCTTGAAAGTTGAACAAGGACATTAAGCTGAACAGAGTTTATAGCCTTCCGTCCCAGCATACTTCTGGCTAAATATCACTACCCTGGACCTTTTGAATATTCAGAACAAGTCATTTAATGATTTAAACATATTTGATCCCTGTGACTTTGAATATGAGCGAAGGTTATTCATTTGAACAAAATTGGTAGCCCGTCATCCCAGCATGTTACTGGCCAAATAGAATCATCCAAGGCCTATTGGTCATTCAGAAGAAGTTGTTTAAAGTTTTTAACATATTTGACCTTGAAAATAGGTGAAGGTCATTTATTTGAACAAACTTGGTAGCCCTTCATCCCAGTTTGCTTCTGGCGAAATATAATCGCCCTAGGCCTTTTGGTTATTAAGAAGTTGTTTAAAGTAAAATATTGACGCCTGACGCACAGACCAGATGAGCTAAAAATGGACAATATGCATTAGAACTAGGGGTGGTGCGATGCATATAAATTGTCATATTCATACAGGAATTTTCATTATATGCATTGACAAATTCATAGCTTTTAAATAAAGTAATGTATCTATATACAATACGATATTATTGCGGTAACATAGACATTGTAAGGTCAAGTTAACAAATGAAATCGTTTTTATTTTTACTGAGGTTGCCTTCTACCTTTAAATCTTTACTTGCTGCATTGAATCCCAATTAAAGAGACAAACTTCCTGAATTCTGTGTTCAATACAAAATTCTACATAAATGTAGTCCAAATTAATGTTTTTACAATATTATGTGATTTCAATTGCTTTTTTATTTACTTTCAAATGTTCAAATTTATCACATTGCAGAAAAAAGACCATTAATAGCTAACCAAGGAAATAAGCACACATATGAATGACAGATTAAATTTCAATTTATTCAGAATTCAATTATCGTATATATATTATACATACTTAGACATGTGTATGCCAATTATCATTGAAATTAATAAACCAAATTTATAAAGATATTGTTATGTTAAATAAACTTTGCGATAGTATTTTTGAAGTGATAAAATGGAAATTAATGTTAGCTTAAATAGTTCAAACAATACACAAAATTGTATTGACTAAATCATAATTTTAACAAAGAAATAATAACTGAATTGTGTTATGATGACAACAAAGTATTTCCTCATTTGTTTCCAATGGTGACCATGTGGTCATCAAGCTGTGTCTGAAAAATTTGACCAAAAATGTAACTGAACGCAAATTTTTCACATTGGAGGTGAGATTTTAAAAGGATGACATTTCGTTTCTGATAAAAACTATCCCATGTACACAACTTTAATTTACGATTAAAAATAAGAATGTTTTTGTGGAAATCCACTCTATAGAATGAGTGTCAGGATTACAGATTTTTTAAAAATATTGTTATAAAAAGTTTGTTTATACTCTTAACAAATAATCTCTTCAGGTATCCGACTCTTTGATACATTTTTCTTTTAATTCAGCGACTAGAATTATGTGTCGGATACATTATCCCAGTCGAGACGAATATGTCAAATGAATACAAGTTTGACTAGAATTCTATTATACAATTAATATTTAAATCTAAAAAGAAACTCGGGACATTCATCAATACAGAGAATCATTGTCATAAATATTTCAATAGGATTAAATGTTCAACATAATATTTTAATAATAAACTCATAGATAAATCAACAAGTATTGTCACCTATACTATATACAAGTAATTTTAATACCTAAATTTTCTGAATGATAAAAACCTTGCAGCAGAATTCAGTGAAATAATTCGAAGTCCTCAGGTTTCTGACGTCTGCTTGTACCGGTAATACAAGTGTCATTCATTGCCTGATTTAGAAGGTGTCTGAGGTACATTGTAGCAAGGACAAGGACAGCAAAATCTTATTACATTGTTACTACATTCCAACAAAACTTTGGTCATATAAAGGAATTAAGAAATAAAGAAAATGGGACCTTAATTTAAGTTGGCTGCAACAGATGTACAATTTGTAGGAATGAAAAAAGGGCGTTATATGAAGGTTCTCCTGTAATAATACATGTTTCCAATTATAAACAAAACACAAGCAACAAAAAAAAAAAAGATTATGTAGTCAAGATCCGAAACACATTCTAGTTTCATCATACCCTTTTTCAAGAACTTGCATTTTTGTTTGTTAGAATGATATGGTCCTCTTGTTGGCAAATGAGCAACACATTTTCCTTAATAACTTCTATTGGGCTACCATTGTACATCTCCAGTTTTAGCAATTTAAATATTTTTTCTCCTCAAATCTTTCAGTTTATTGTTAAACAAACACATGAACTCAACTGTATTATCAACTATCAAAACAAGCTTTCTATTTTGAAAAAAATATTGATCTTACATTTAGCTATGTATTTCCAATAAACTACATAAATAAACACACAAGTCAAGCATGAGATCTTTGGAAGAATTTAATACCAAGAACCACAAATTACTTCAACACATACAAATCTCAAACCAAAATAAAGAAAAGATCACAATGTTACACTTGGTTTGATTTCAATAACAAAATCAAATGTGATCATACACATTCTTCATGACCTCATGGACATGTACACATCACCCCCCTTTATATATTCATTTATATGCATATGGAGATAATTATCTTGTAACTTAATGTATAATGCTGATTTGAATGCCCTTTTTTAACTTCTATAAAACTGTCACTGTAGAAATATTTAAGAGCCTTAGAGTAATTTTACATATTATATAGGGCGCTATATACATGTTGTATACTATTATTATTTACTTCAGCAGTGATATGAATTTACCTATAATAGCACTTAATTGAGTTCCTGATTAACTCTTTACGATATCAAAGAACAAGTTTCTGGATTAAATTCTATTTAAAATATAAGAAAAACAAAATGTTTATGAAAATTTTGAAAAAGAAAAATTTCAATCATACGACAAAAATTAAAGCAGATTCTAAATTAATCTTGTAACAAATTATATATTGGATCAAATTTTAATGCAAAATTACATTACCATTCAATTTTCTCTTAACACTAACAGAAACCCATGTTAAATAAGTATCATATGAAACATTTACAAAGTAATCCTCACAGTTAAACTCAGGTGATTGATAGTTCTTCGTTTGAAACATAACAAGCAAACACATTTGACCAGCTATACACAGTTTGAATTCCACGAAAAGGCAAACACATTTACGACAAAGCAACTTTGTCTTCAGTCATCCACGCCTCCATTTCTATGGAAAAAGAAACGTTTTTCAAACATGATGTGGCTTTAAATAAACCCTGCATTAAGTCCTGCTAGAGAAATTCAGAAGGTGCCATATTATAAGTTAAAGGTAAATGTAAATATGAGCTCATATAACGCAAAAATATTGACTGCGGCTGCAATTAAGTTTTTGGCACAAATAATTCATTTCTGTAACATGTTTATTTGTTTGAAGATAAAATCAATGTTTAACAGTTCTTTCCCCATTATCAACACACCTGAATATATTTTGTTGCATCATTTGTTCCTGACGATAATTGAACAGCAAATTTTACTAATCTTACTAAATTTCTTGATGTTGACATGCAATAAAACCAAAAACACATACGTGCTATCCTTTGAAATATTTCTAGATGTTGTTTTCAAAACTCCTTAACCGTATGAATGTGTAGTGAGAGATTACAAAACACACTATATATTTATTCACACATATGAAGTATGGCATTTTAATACAAAACATATGAAATTGAACGAATAATTAAAATAAGCCAAAATTTAAATAAATAATGTTTTGTGTTGACAATGCCTGATCATTTGATTAAGACACTACAATCTGACAGAAAAAAATATATATAAAAAATAACCACTGATGTTTTTTGAGCGTTACAAGTCAGAAGCTGTGAATGCAGTTGTATATGCCCTATGTACAAAAGTCAGCAGTACTGGGGAATGGCCGGAGTGTAGCCACACTCACCCAAACTGTTCTGATTCTGATCTGTTTCCTGAAGCGTTTTGGCTGCTTTGTGGACATCCTCAAGGAAACCTGGTACACCTGAAATGAAGAACAGCAAAAGTTTGGTTAACTTAAGAACTTCTTTTAATATGTTTTAATGTTCTTAATATTAATTTTTGCATTTTTTCCTAACAATACTTTCTAAGCTTTAGCTTAGACCTGGTTGGTTTAGAATGATTAAAACAATTCTGTATACTAAGTATATTATTAAAGGGTATAAACAAAATAAATTCCTTCCGTTTCCCTGGGGTTTATTTACAAATCTGTTGGGGAGAGGAAATATTTTGCTTTCGCTCTCATTCCATTAAAACTGATATGATATGGATTTTTTTCACATATTTAGAAAAAAAAACAACCTTTATCGAAATTGTTTTCTAGACATTTTGAAGTCATACTTTATTTTTCTATCACTGAATTCCTTATCCATCATACTATTGTCAATATACACATCATTACATTCACCCTATCACTAGTCAGCTATTCCCATCATTACATTCACCCTATCACTAGTCAGCTATCCACACGATTACATTCACCCAATCACTAGTCAGCTATCCCCATCATTACATTCACCCTATAGTCAGCTATCACCATCGTTACATTCACCCTATCACTAGTCAGCTATCCACACGATTACATTCACCCAATCACTAGTCAGCTACCTACATCATTACAATCACCCTATCACTGGTCAGCTATCCTCATCATTACATTCACCCTATCACTAGTCAGCTATCTACATCATTACATTCACCCTATCACTAGGCAGCTATCTACATCATTACATTCACCCTATCACTAGTCAGCGATCTACATCATTACATTCACCCTATCACTAGGCAGCTATCCACATCATTACATTCTGCCTATCACTAGTCAGCTATCTACATCATTACATTCACCCTATCACTAGTCAGCTATCCACAGTCATTCAATGACTTCAATAAAAATGTTTCTTCTGAAGTTTGACATTACCTGTGGCATGCCTGTATGGTGGACAGAATGTTATCAGATCTGCCCACCTTTACGACCTTAAAGTACCAGCTACAGGGTACTAATATGTCCCTTGCATAGGTTATGGATAAGTTATACTATACCACTCCCTGATATTATTATTTTTTATTTCAGAGTTGTCGCACATAATCAAGCACTTCTCAAGGTAACAAATTGAAACTTTTGAACAATAAATTATGAGAAGACACAACAATCTAAATGCGATGTTTTACTATAAATTCATATGTACTGTAAAGTGGAAAAGTTTGTGTTGTGACCCTTCAAACTGGCAATAGTTCTGAAATCTATATGTATGTATACTGTATTCTATTTATCTATAATCTATAATTCCAGTGCACATAAACAGTGTTTAAACACAGGTCCCTGTGTGTTTAAATACAGAACAGACCCACCTTTGGCTGCCAGCCAGTCGTAGGCCACCGAGGGGATAGATGCTTGTGGATCATCATAATAGGTCAGCACATAGTCAAAACCATTCTGTAACAGAAAAGGTGCAACTCACTAACACTTGTAGCTCAGTACATGGTAAATGTAATATATATTTTGATATTAAGGAATTCCCTCCTACGGTCCCCAGTCCCACAGTAGGCAAAACAATATAGAGTTCCACTACTACGTTTTTTATACATGTATACATTTACCTCCGTATTTTTTTATTTTAGATACAAGAGGCCAAGACGGCCTGCATTCAATTATCGAAAAATAGTATTGAAAATATTCCCCCATTTTGTGTTCAGTCTCTCTGGGTTTAGTGATACTTCTTAACAAATCTTGTTTAGATCCATATGTATGTGTATATCATATGGTTTCAGGGGTTGGGTCTGGAACAATGAATATCAAAGTAACAAATATAACAGGCCTAAGATAAAATGTCTGGGCGTGAAATCATTTCAATCCGTGTAAACGTGTTGAGGGAACAAAAACAAGCATTCTGATTTATCTCTCGGGACACAGCGGTGTATGCGAAGGGAGGTAATGCTGACTCAGAATGCACCATTTGAGTCAGCTAATAACTTTCAACTCTGAAAACACATTCTTTTCTTTGAATCAACCCAGAACATCAGTCACTCATTACCTCGTTGAAGTTGGTGTGAGGTTTGATGACCATGTCGGATTCGTACTTGGTGATTCGGACGCAACTTTTGTTTTTCGGAATGCCGGGGTGGTCTGTACTGTGAGACATCAGGACCATCACATTCTTTTGGCGGTCAACCTGCAAGTAATTCAATTTGATTTCCGCTTAATTTTACCTGATAGCATTAGTCATAAAACTTGAAAACTTCGAATTGCTATCAGTTTTCTTTTTAAATATAAGGGGAGGGGTTCCAATCACAGCTCAGGTGTCCCCAGTTTTAGTGGGTATTTTTTAAAATACAGTAAATAATAATCAAAGTTCTGGGGATTTCATTCTACTGATTAGTGGTAACAAAGTGACCAAGGGTGTTCAGTTTCCTATTTGGTCTACTATCCTGCAGGCAGATTCGATAAAAAGAGGCTCATGGGCCTTAATGATCACCCAAATTGTAAGATGTCAATTTCGACAAGGCAAAGCAAACAAATAAATGTACCCTGCCCCTGCAGGTACATACAAAGAAAATATCATTTTTTTACTGAATTCACCAACAAAATTATGTTGAAGAGTGACCAACATATATGTCAAACAGACAAAGTCTTCCCTAGTCTTCAGTATACCAGTTAAAAAAGTTGTAATTACAACATGACTTTAGCTTTATAATCCTTGTTCAAAAATGAATAATTTTTGTTCAACCTATTTCAACTCTTGACTAATTTTTTAACCAAGTGAGGAAAAGTGACCCTGGAGTAATGAAATTCACAATTTTGATAAAGCCCTTGAAGAGTATTCTAGTCTGAAGAAGACATTTCATGCTTTAGCCAATATTTCCAATTTTACCTTGCCCCCAGCCCCTGGGAAGGGGGTCAGGCCTCAGCTATTAAATTGCCATCCTGTGGTAATAAATCCAATCAAGTTTTCATTGTTTCCATATGATAATAAGCAAAAATTCAGTGATCAATCTACTATTAGTTTGTATGGGTCTTTTTCCACTGTATTGTTAAAATAATTAAAATGATATGGGTCCCACCGTGTTAAATTTCAGTGTATTCAGAAATGCTATAGGTCAAATCCAAATTCAATGGGTATAGGACCCAGGACTCGCATGTAGATTTATCACAGCAAAAAATGCCTGAAGTTGATTTTTACCAGATAGAAATGTAAAAAATAAATTGTTTAGGAGTATGTACAGATATAAACCACAAACACAGACAGAACTTGAACACAGTTTTGAATGTTACCTTGTATCTTCGCACGAAGACATATTCCCTGTTTGCCATTGGCCACTGCAAAGCACAAAGATATATATATATATATAAATACACAAATATAAGGAAACGACTTTTACTTTTATTGTATAATGAAAAAAACTACAACTACATGTATATACAAACACCTGTGGTGTTCAATAAGTTTTCATATTTAGAAGCTACAAGCTAAAGCCTGCAGTTTGGTTTTGAAAATTCTACATGGCCTCAACATGGAAAGTTTGCAAAACATCTCTTTATAAGACTATAGCCAAATGAACATGCAGTATTTGCAGTATTATCTAGTTCCAATCCTATTAGACCACTAGAGAAAATGATTGCGGATGACAGAGGTCAATATAAAAAATATGAAAACTTACAATGAAGCTGGTAACCCAGTGAATGATCTCTGAACCCGATTCTTTGTCATGGTCGACCATTTCTAGTTTGATGATGCGTTTGTCCCATCTCTTTCTGTACTCCAAATCAACCTGTTAATGGAGAAAGTCAATTTTGTTTGTCACATGTTCATTACATATAATATAGAACATCCTTATCATCACATACATGTGGACGAACGTAAACTTGTGCAAGCAGTATATTATGTACAGGTTTCGTTTAAACTAAACAAGATTTGGGGGTATCTGTTTCCGGATTGTTTTAAAATTAAATTGAACATGCCAAGCTCAACAATATGGATAGCCAGATAGTATAAGACTAGTGAGTTCTCCAGCAGGACTAATGGTTCTAAAAACTGCTAAGCCAACTGACTAGTCAAAATTTGATATAGCTCGTCATTTAGAATAAGACCGAGTCAGTGGAATGTGTGCATGGACTAGCTAAATTGGAATCTACAAGCCCGACTGACTAGTGGTTTTTAAAACCAATTTCTAACCCTGAATATGGTGGAAGCCAATAGACGACACACACATTTTCTAATTAGAAAAAATTTAAATACATACCTGTACAGTATAAAATGACATTGGTGTGATATCCTCGAAAGTGCCATAAACTGAAAATGGAGTGCAAGTAGATACTGGTAAGTATTAAAACAGAAAACAAAGTAGTATTTCTGACAACATGAAACAAAAACATATATCTATGACTGTATTCAAATAAAAAAATAGGAAAGGTATGCAGTTGCATGCACCTTGGGCCTAAAAATCGAAATCTTGATGTGTATTCCATGGATACTTATCTGTCTGCATTTAGCGTTAACTTATTTCATCCTAGGTCCTCTGGTCAATAACTCATCAACCAATTTACTAATGGTTCCACTCAGCACTTTGTTTTTATGCAGCATCATTTAAATGAGTAAATATTACCAATGTACTTGTCCTAAAAATACAGCTAACATACATATATATATTATATACATAATACATTATAAACTAGAAACTTGTTTTTGTGAACAAAAACATATGTCTTCCCTTATTAGCCAATAGACAAACTTCAGTATAACAAGAGGCCCATGGGCCTTAACGGTCACCTGAGTCTACAGTATTATTTTTTTTGTTGAAATATGTACCAATTTGAGTAAAAAATAGTATAATGTTAACTTAACTTTGTCAGGACCATGAGCTGATCATTCCTAGACCAATTTTAAGTGAGATCGGCCTATTAGAATTTAGTAGCAAAATAGCGGCCATGGCAGCCAAATTGTATTTCTGATTGACCCGAAAAATAACAACACTTTGTCAGGACCATGAGGCGATCATTCCTACCAATTTTCAGTTCAATCGGTCCAGCAGAACTTGACTTTAAGTTTGAAATAGGTTTTCTAAATGGCGGCCGTGGCGGCTAAAGCTCAGGTGACCTAAAAAAATAACAGGTGACCTAAAAAAATAACAAAGGGCCATATCTCTTTATATAGTGGGGCACGAGACCCCAATTCAGAATGCGACACTCCTACTTCCCAAGATACATAACTATAGCAAGATTGGTCAATGTAGGTGAAATACCATGGACAAACTTCTGTATTAAAAATAAACAAAGGACCATTAGTCTATATATAGTGGGGCACGAGACCTGCTTTAAGTGTAAGATATTCCGCCTTCCCAAGAAACATAAATGTGGGAAGTTTGGTTAAACGTAGGTGGAAAACATGGAACTTATGCTCCAGAAAAAACTTTGGTTATTAAATTAAACAAAGGGTCATAACTCTGTATATGGTGCCCCACGATACCTAATTCTATTGCACTGCACAACTTTTGTGGGTAATGCAGGTATACTTCAAGTTTGATAAGATATCTTAAACAGTTTAAAATTTACAGGCCAGACAAGAATTTACTGAAAATGTTGCACTTATTTGACCTTTGACATTGAGGTGAAGGTCACAGTGACCTTATTCGAGTGCACTACACATCTCCTGTGGGTGATACCGACCTACCTCAAGTTTCATCAAGATATTGTTATGAAATTATGGCCCGGAAAAGTTGCGATTAGAAGAACAAGAAGAACAAGTACTAATACAATATGTCTCCCGAGACATAATTACATCATGTAATACCTTTATATTCATAAACAGCTGATCCTTGGACAGGTTTGCTCCAGACTTTGAAATTGATTTTATTTAAGATGCATGCCCATGTATCCATGTAGTGGTTGACACTGCTGTCTTCCTGGTTGCCGCTGTTTTCATTACCGCCACTCCTGGTACCGTTGTCAACATCACTTCCTCCACGATCATTGTTCTCACATTCAGCATTCACCAAGTCTTCTATGTGCTTCATGTCATCAATGCAGCTTAAAAATAAAAACATGAAATTCTGCTATATTTTACAATTTAAAAACTTTTACTATCAGACTTTACAAGCAGTGTTCTCATTGTTATATATGATGGTTCAACAATGGGGTCATGAGCAGGTGATCAATTTCAATTTGGTTGCATATAATACTGTAATTAATACATTGAATTTGTATGAGACATATGAATTCCGGTATTCATGAAACAGTTCTCATGCTCAAGCATCGACCACATGGTCACGTTACAATCACACATGTGCTATACTGATATGGGTCACAATTAACACACATAAACATGTTTATGTGTGTTGTGACCCATATCAGTAAAGCATATGTGTGATTGTAACGTGACCCTGTCAGGGACTAATCTAGCTTTATTTTGCTGCCGTTAAACAGCACTTTCCCCTCGAGAAAAAGGTACCAAAATTTCCCTCTCCCCCCCCCCTCCTAAAATTCCCCTTTTTCTTCAAAATAAATATTTCAAAATCTTGATTATAAATGCAATTATTCTTTTCCTCATAAAAGAAAACGATTCTCGAGCACCAAATTGAAAATTATTGATCGTTTTTTGTTTATTTCCCGGAGTTCATGAAACGTGTATTCCTTCATTGCTGTTAAGCGCAGGAGTGACCCGATGTACGCATGCGGAACATCGCGGAACATCGCGGAACATCGCATCCGGAAGAAACCTGAAGTTAAAATTAACCAGACATCATGTCGCACAAGGAGGGTTTTATGTGTAAAAATAAAAGAGAAAGATGCAAAAGGAAATGATCGTACTATAGATGCAAAAGGTCAGACTGAGTAGGAAATTGATACAGACGATTCAATACAGAAATGTGTGAGTTAAAATATACATGGCTATATTATAGTTATGTAAACAGAAGCTGTGTTTGCGAAATCTGTGAAAATTAAACATGTCATGAAAATGAACACATTCACGAAAATGCTCCCCAGTGATCAGGTTCATAGTGTACCCATGTCATTTTTCCTGGCCTTTTTATTCTAAGAAATAACAGCTAGTACACATACATAATATAAACAAACATCGAGACAGTCTGATTATGTACTTTTCCCCTATTAGGGAAAAAAAATCCCCTTTTTACCGAAAGGGCACTTTCCCCCAAAACCTAGATTAATCCCTGCCTGTGCATGGACTCTGTGCTCAACCCTGCTTTCTCGCAACTCGCTTAAATCATTTGAACGTAACAAAAGGTCATGTGTAAATATCAAAAATGGTATTCAGCTTTAAGTTTCTCTAAAATTCTTCCCAGTCATTGAGAAAACGCAAATTTGTATTAATCCCTCACTGGAACAAGAAATTAGGTGTGAGCACTGAATCTGAGTTTGAGCATGGATTTTGTGATCAAGCCTTGAATTTCTTCTTCCGATTATACATTGATATCAATAAAATCTTATTTTGTCAATGATTTTGGAAAAAATGAAGATACTTAATTAAAGCTAAATTCTGTTTTCAATGTTTCTGTTTACATTTGACTTTTTGATTGTTTGATGTAATTTAATTGAGTTATAAAAAAGTTGGCTTGAGCCCACAAATAACCATGCTTGAGCATGAGAAGTTTTATGATTACAGGCACCAGACTTTCCAACAAGCTAGGTCTCATGTTTATGAGATTCTTTTGCATGTTAACTTATAGTTAGATTATATTTTCAAATATCAAATAAAAGAGGGGTGGGGATGGGAACTAGCTATATGGGGGTTGAGGAGTACGTGTATTTATACAAATTTATGGTATACTAAAATTAAAAGACCTTCTGGTTTTTCGGAAAAGAGAAAAACTGTTGAAGATTTTTATAATACAATTCAGCAACACAGGAATTAAAAAGCTAACAATGCAAAAGATGGAAATGTCAGTCCAGGTGCTGAAATCTGATTAAATTTCGACATTACATTCTGGAAGGATAAAAGCTTCGATAAAAGAACATCTTGCATTTATATAAAGTCGAAACGGCAGAGTATAAACTGTCTCTAGCCAAATAAACCAAGCTTCACAATTCAATATCTTATTGAAACAAGTGATAAGAAAAACCCATAGCCACCTGACCTTGTATCAACAGGGGAAAACCCCCAACTTGATATATATGCAAACTCGCCTATTATACGCCAGTTGGAGTACGGATTTGTTACTAAAAATAACCAAAATCGCTTTAACAGTAACCTTTGCAAGATATTATTAAAAATCGCATTAATTTACGATAAGGTAAATAATATTTTGCTAAAAGATGTTTACTGAAAACGTTGGCTACTTAGAAACTTGATGTAACTTTACCGGAAGTGTTGCATCTGTTTTTGGTACTTATGCAAATAAAGTTTATTTTTGCTTTTGTATTATGTTTCATGACTGAATAAATGCGACTTGGACAAACATTGTGAAAAAAATAAGATTACAGTAATTTTGGCTATATTTAGTAACAAATCCATACCACTATTGGCGTAAAATAGTCGAGTTTGCGTATTATACGCAAGTTAGTGGTTTTCCCCGACCTGGTCAGTACATAAAACTAAGGTCAAAAGTTAAAGGCCATCATGCATATATTGAATTTAGCTATAGAGAATGCTAACCTTTCGAGATCAGAATCGGTAAGCTGATTATTCTGCCAGGAAAACAAAGCTGCTCCATAAAGACAAAAAGCGTTCCTAACTTTTCCGTTTTTCATGAAAGGATCACTAAACCTGTTTATAAGTCGAACCACCGACTCGCCGTAAACTCTTCTATACAAAAATAAAATTTGTGTGGTTCTCCGTAATCGTTGAGCAGCTACTCCATTGCACTGCTTAATTGTCAAATCGTTCAATATGCCAAATTGGTCTAAAAGTTTCCGGACAATTGCATTCTTCCAGGACGCATCACCATTTTTTCCCGCAAGCGTTGCAGCCCGTTTGAATAAAATCGCCTGTGTTTTCCTCTGATTTGTTGAGAGAAGACGATGAGCCAAAACCCTCAGTTGCAGGAATATGTTATCCACGTTCATTGTTGAAGTATGTTCGCACCAAACAATCTTATGAAACTCTGTCGGACATTTCAAGTTCACCAGCTACCACATGGCCGACTGCATGCCAACTGTCCGACTAAAGTAGTCGATAAAGCTGTCCAAAGGTCAAATGCACGTTTCGTTAACTTTTGACATGTTCTTGGTAAAGAACACCAATGAAATATACATATTTATTAAAATCATATACCAATTTTCATTTTAAGACAAAACTAGTATCTTGATTATAAAACATAAATTGCATAACTATATGTTATTGTCTACTTTGGTTTCGCCCTTGACATTGCTAGACGACCAATCACAGTGTCAGGGGAGGTAACTCTAAATCATCATACGTGTGCAACTTCCGGAATCAATATTTACACATTCCTTCTAAGTTCTTGTTGAGTGATGAAGTTGTGATCTTCGAGTACGTGATATTAACCTTTACGAATAAGAAATAGTGTGGAACAGTTGTCAAATTAGACATAAGGCATACAGGTAAAAAAGCTAGGACTATTAGAATATGGAATTTTCACTATCAGAACATACATTAGCTCAGACCTGACTTGAACAGGTCCAGTACACGTGCACTCTGCCGATTGAGCTATATAGCTATAAAGACAGCTATATCTTATTCACCTATAAAGTATAGCTGTATTGAGCTATATTTTCTCATATTCCAATTTTCATTTAATTAAAGCAAAGTCGCATAAAACAATAAGGTTTATTGTAATGTTGACTACAAAAAGCATACATTTACTGTTAGATGTTAATTTTCATTTTTGATTAATGTAAAATTTCCGATTTTTTTAAATCATTATTTTTTAAAAAGAATGCTTATACTTAATGTCTTTTGATAAAAATCTTATTTTAATATCGACTTTTTTGCCTTTTACTTAAAAAAGAAAATTACATGAAAATAGCTCAAAAGACCTATTTCAGATAGGTCAATAGAGCTATTATAGGTCTTTACAGCTAATTAGCTCAATCGGCAGAGTGTACTGGACCTGTTGAACTCTTTCAAAACAGCTGTGTCTGACTACCAACCCAAAACTACAAGCCCCCTCTGTTAGAGCCAAATCTTGTCAGAGCCCCCCCCCCCACCCTACACACACTTCCTTCCCTAATACTGGTATATATGACTGTGTAAGTATTGTCGGTGGGGGTTGCCCAACCACTTGCCTGTAGGCCTGCCTTTTGCCACTATAAAATATACTTTGTTTTGGCTGCTTTCTTTTTATCTACATTTGTTGCCATGTATCATTTTCATCTCCGAACAAATCATTATAAAAATGTGTGATGTACATAAATGCTACCTCCAAGAACACCTGGTTGCAGTAATTGCACTCATACCTATGAGTTCTGTTGCAGTTATCGTAAGAAGAAAGCTACTAATACCTTTCCTCTTCTCTTTAGGTCATGGTAATGGTTCATATATATCTCCATCCCATACAAGATACAAGAAGCTTTATTTACTGTTGTATATGGCATAACATTGAAACATTAGCTCTGTGGAGTTATTTTTACGACAAACATAAGTATAAAAACAGAGTAATAACAAGGTAAAAAAGCAGGCTAGTAGAAAAAGTAGGATTATGCAGCAAAAACTATACACATAGAAACTACAAAAATAATCAGAAAACAGTTTGATGATAGCACATGCATGTTAAAAAGCAGGAACAGTACTTATAATTATAACATAAGCATAAATCATAAGCATAAAACATATAAAAACATATCAGATTTAGCAAGCACATATTTCATATAATATCACAAATGGTTAATTAATAAGATACTTTATATTGGAAATTGATGGAATAAAATACTCAGATAAATTTAAGTAATATCAGAAGCAAAATAAAAGCAAAAACTCAATTAAAATGGGGGATCAATAAGATGAAAGTCAGGAACATATAGAACACGGGCAGAGATCATCTTCCCAGGTGTGCAACAGCCTACAGAAAACCTTGTAGTTTTCTGCTTGTCTATAATCTCATTAGGTAGCTATAGGATATTCAACACCTGGGCGGCTTCAAAACGAAAAGATTTCTTATCATATGTGGTTAAGTAGTATTTATCCTTGGTATAGTCACTGTCAACTGTGACCGATAATCATATACACAAATAAAATTGCTTGACATGAATAGTTGATCACAATCATTATATCAAAACTGGATCTAAAGTTTGCCATCCCCCCAAAGGATTAGTTCCTTGTTCATAATATGGAAATACATGTAGCTCAGATCCAACCCTAAGACTATATACAATTTCTGGGCACGAAGAGATGAATACACTCCTGGTCAATTGACGCCCCAAGGGGTTCTAGCCTTTCATCAGAACTAAGAAACAGTTCAGACCACCACTCTGTAACCATGCATATATACATTTTTGTTGTTGTTGATGTCATTAAATTTCATGTAAAATATAAAAAATATATATCAAAACACCAGCTTGATACAAGTACATGACAAAAAGTCATTCTAGACAATAACAGCTAATTTTTTATATATTTTTTTTATATTCAAGCATTGTTTCAGATAATTTCAGTTTTGCTCTAAAATGTATTGATTTATATATAGATACATGTACAACTTTATTTCATTCAGTTATGATTGGATTCTGAGGAGGGCAGTCATTTTGAGCAACTTTCATCAATCACTGTAATAGTTAAGTGAAGCATAGCATGGTCCAATTCGTCGGATCAAAGTTTAAAAACTGACATTGATATACATTCCAAAGTGACCACTCTTCATTGTGAATGATGCCCAAAAGGAGTGTAGTGGACGGTCAAGGTGCCAAGTACCACAAACTGATAAGGTCAGGGGATGATGGCTATGTTGATCTACAGGTAAGTGTTTGATTGCAGATGACAAACATCCAAATTGAAAAGTTCATGAGAAGTATAAATACAAAATTGTTTTATAATGAATGTTTTTTGAAAATTGAATTTCTTTTAGAATTCAAGTGTAATGTGAATTTGATCAGGAAAAACAAATATTAATTACAACTGTTACTAAATTTTATTTCCAAGAAATTATGGTTAAATCAAAAACTAAGAATGACTTTGATTATCTCCCGTTTATTTCCCATTAACAGTGTACACTATATATATTGACCTTAAATATATTTCCTTTTTACTAAAAAATATTTTTTATGAACCTGAAACCAACCTTTTTTAAGAAATCAAATATTGATTTTCAGTTTGAGAGACCACCCCCCAAGATTCCATACAAAGCCATTCTGTTGGCTGTGATACTGTTTACAGTGGGAAGTTTAATGATCATTATTGGGGCCATGTTGCTGTCTGGATATATTGATGCTAAGGTAACGTATACAATGATAGAATATGCTATACATTTATAACTTGATTTTTTCCCCAAATCTCCCAATCGCCCCATCCCCCCCACTAAAGGATTTTATGTCTCTTGTCTGTCCATATTGTTATCACCTACCCCGATTGTTTTTGACTATTTTACAATTATCTCTTTAATGTATACATCTCAGATGACATGTGTACAAATGTACCACTTAATGTTAAGATACCAAATCTTGCTACCCTTATTTTTGGTACAATTTGTTTGTGGACCTTACTATTTTTTACAAATTTAAAAGAAAGCACACCATATATAGTTGGTGTAAAAGAAAACAAACAAATTTCTGCACTGAAGCTTTGATATATGTTAATTCCATTTCAAACCAAGTGATGGCTGTCGCCTGTCTTTTTTATACTGCCTGTATCTATTTGGCTCACCTGCAATACATTTTTGACCATTTTCTCAAAATTTTGCTCTAAAGTGCATGGGTACACTAAAATCTCTTGACTCTAATAGATGTATTTCCAGTTCTTCATTCCATAAACATATATTTCCTTTTACAATGTATATGAATTGTTTTGCCGTTGTAAAGAGCGTTTTAAATACGTGTGTACTTCATTTATTTATTCAAGATTTATATAGAAACTTCACAGCTATTCTTACTTCGTTTTACAGTACAATGATAGGACGTGGCCTGTTCTCCTGATTGGTGCCCTCATGTTCATCCCTGGAGCATACCACGTTCGTATTGCTTACTACGCATATCAAGGCTACACAGGATATTCATACGATGACATTCCTGAGTTTGATTGACAATTCTAGTGACGCTAAAGTCTATACAAATATTTTTGGAGAAACATTTTTTTTCTGGTTTAAAAAGAAAATATTCACAATATGAGATTTTCTTTTAGTATATAAGCACCTTGAGTATTGGTTAGATATTAGTGGTAGTTGTCTAATACAGATGTTCTATGAAAATGTTGATTTTTTTTTATGGTAGATCTTTGATTTTAATTGTTTATGTTAAAGTGTTGGTCAAATATTTACCTCAGGCTAATTAAACTCTTTTAACTGTGAGTGTAGAAAAAATATGTACCCCACAAACATGAGTATATGGTGAGAAACTACTGTCTTATTCTCCCATATGATCGAATAAGAGAATAAGAAAATTACTAAAAAAAATTGTAAAAAAAATGAAATCTGATTTCATGCTCATTGCTTCATGTGATGCCATCTGAACATGAAGTGTTGATTTATCGTATCTGTCCTGCAATAAGCCAAGAGGGGCTACACATAAAATCTCACTCAAAGTAAGGGGAATGGCTTCTAACAGGGAGATGACATTTCTAATACCCAGCTACAGTGTACATTTACATTTGAAGAATAATTATAATCCTGATGTTATCAAAGATTATTTTTGTATCATTGTTCTTTATAAATGTATGTTTTATGAAGTTACATGATGGGATTCAGTTACACCTTGTTACATTGTATTATGTCATCTCTCGTCCACCATAACTTTGGCACAAATAAAAGATTTTGGTGTAGTAGAGCTTTTAGTAAAAGAATTTTAACATTTGACCTCGTAGCAGGAAATATCATAGAACAGTTCTCTGTTGTCTCTAACTTATAAAAAAGCCTTTGTAATAAAAGTACTGACTTTTTAAAGAAAAAAAGGGGACTTTGGATAAATAGTGTAAAGTGAGATAACGAATAAAATGATGGATGTTATATCATGATTTTGCTGTATAACATGCTAGTCATATGAGAAGAAGTGTTTCTGTAGGTGTGCAGCATTATGAACTCAATAGAACCATCATATAAAACATGTACATTTCATATATAATGTACTTGAAGTTTATTTTAACAGCAGATTGCACTTAATGTCATCTCACTTAATGTCACATTTCTTTATATGTTTTTCTTGAAATGATATCTCATTTTCTATATTTATTGAATGTAATTAAGTTTGTTTGATATTGTGAACTCCTCTTAATATCATATTCTATCATTTCTCATAACAACAAAAACAAAATATGTGTTTCCGGTTTCCCTACTGACCTTAGATTTTTGTGCCTACCCTAAAGTTTTTGTTGGCATTTAGTGATAAGCACTCTTGTAGTCAGAACTCCTGCTCTGCATAAGTATAGAAAAAATATTAAAAAAAACCACCCAAGAATTTGCCTATAGCTACCTACCCCAATTTCTATCCAGCAGAAACAGGAACACATATCTTTTTTTTGGCCTAATGTCCAATATGTGTACATTGTGTGGTAATGTAAAATATCAGTTAAACACATGTTGAGGGTTTGCAGGACAAGATTGGTGTATACATGTCATTATTGGAGGTTACTCATTGTTAAATGTGCTGAATGGTTGAGGTGAAATTATTTTGTCATATTTCCGTGATGAAAAGAGATGAGTGTATGAATGATTAAAAATATGTATAATATTGTCTACTGAACAGCATCAATCTTACTGAGTTTGTGATTTTTTATGTTATTAAATAAGGGATCAATGAAAACCTTCTGTTAGGTGATACATTTGTATCTGTCAAATATATCATGTACATGTAGCATCAGATATAGTTCAATATGAAATGGGCAACTGACAGTAGAATTAACTTATTCTCTATGTTTACTGAATATTTGGTATTTATGGGTTTTATTTTTGATATTTTAGGAGCTTGAATATGTATCCTAGCACAGTGGAATGGAGTTCATATAATTTTCAAAAAAGAAAAACAAGAAGAAATAGTGGTTTTACAAAGAACTACATTGTAATTCAAAGGTCATCAATTCCAATGAAAATTTGTAATTTCTTCTGATGCATGCAGAAAATCATCACCAACCCCCCTTCAAATAGAAAAAACATACAACAAGTGGCCCATGGGCCTTAACGGTCACCTGAGTCCTACAGTATTTATTTTTGTTGTTGAAATATGTACCAATTTGATCAAAAAATAGTTAAGAATAACGTTAACTTAAGTTTGTCAGGACAATGAGCTGATCATTCCCAGACCGAGTTTCAGTTAAATCGGCCTATTAGAACTTGATTTTAAGTTTGAAATAGATATTTTCAAAATAGCGACCGTGGCAGCCAAATTGGATTTCTGATCGACTCGAAAAATACCAACACTTTGTCAGGACCATGAGTCGATCATTCCTATAAAGTTTCAGTTAAATAGGTATAGTAGAACTTGACTTTTAGTTTGAATTAATTTTTCATAATGGCAGCCATGGCGGCCATATTGGATTTCTGATCGACCCGAAAAAGTCGATCATTCCTACCAAGTTTCAGTTAAATCGGCCCAGTTGAACTTGACTTTAAGTTTGAAATAGTTTTTCATAATGGCCGGCATATTGGATTTCTGATCGACCCGAAAAATAACAACACTTTGTAAGGACCATGAGTCAATTATTCCTACCAAGTTTCAGTTAAATCGGCCAAGTAGAACTTGACTTTAAGTTTGAAATGATTTTCAAAATGGTGGCCGTTGCGGCCATATTTGAATTCTGATCGACCCGAAAAATAACAAAACTTTGTCAGGACCATTAGTCGATCATTCCTACCAAGTTTCAGTTAAATCAGCCCAGTAGAACTTTACTTTAAATAGTTTTCAAAATGGCGGCCATATTGGATTTCTAATCGACCTGAAAAATAACAACACTTGGTCAGAGAGATGTCAGTAACATTCCCATGAAGTATCAGTAAACTCCCTTTGACAGTATTTCAGCTTAAGTTGAAAATGTAAAATGTTAACGGACAACGGACTACGGACGACGAAGGACGAAGACGGATATAGCAGTAGGTCACTTGAGCTAAAGCTCAGGTGACCTAAAAACCGGATCTTTGTAGTCTTTTTTTTGCTGAACTTTTCAGAAGATATGAATTTTAATGAACTTTTATAGTATTTTTTTTATATAGTTCAACAATAGCCCAAATTCTTAAAATAAACACAGGTTTAGTGGTTTTCTGATTTTTACCAAAAAATAAACTGTTTTTATTATGTCAAAATAAAATATTACAATTCACCTCATATATAAAATTCTTTTCAGGAGCATATTTAAAACAGTACCTTTATGTTACTGCTTGTGTTCGTAAGCTAACAAAGTACTATAATTGGAAATACAGGTGGTACATGTATCTATAAACTGGACTTTAACATGAGTTGTTTTATTAATGATCAACTCTTTTGAAAAGTCAAAATAAATAAAGAGGGTTAAATAAATTAAATGTGCTTTTTACAACCTTCAGGAGTCAGATAAAAAATTGAATAGGTCACTCTAAAGGAATTGTCAAATGTAGATTTGAATAAAGTTGCGATATCCTTTCAGGTCTGGTGTTCAAATCTGATCATGATACACTTGTCCAGCAAAACCTATTCTGCATTATTTTGGTATTTATTATGGAAACATGCTTAAATAATGTTAAAATATAAGAAATATATAAGTTTTCCATACCAATCTTTAAGGAGTATGCTCACGTAAATAACCTTGACCAAGTTTGAAATTCACAGGGGTCAAACATGTTGATAATTCAAACAATTTCTATAATGTACCCATAATACAATGAGGCCACGAGATCTGCTAATTGTCCTGTAAGTTTGCTGGGATCTAGGGTTAACAAGTTCATGGAATTGAATTATATTCATTAACTTTCAAGGCCACAAGCTCAATTGAATTAACAATTTCAGATCTTCTACGTCGTAAAATTTGTTTGAAAGTTTGGCAGAGGTACAGGACCATCAACTGTATTAACATAAATCGCCCTGAATCATTTTCAAAGTCATTGGTGTCCGATATGATAAAATAATAGAAACTTAAGTATTTAGGTCTTTATGGTTCTTTTTGATAAATGTTAGTTTTGAAATTAAGTTTTGTTTTGAAACCAATCTGGATATATGTCATAAGGATAGTTAAAAAGTATGAGAAAATAGCTTTGATGGATTCCTTAAATGTGTATCTAAACACCGTATTATATTAATATGTATCATTTAAACTTGTCTTTTTTATTGAGTTTATGTTTCGCCATTGTCTACTCCAGTACTTATTTTTTCGGATCCGGAAAAGTACGCTGTATGCAAATGTATAATTTAAAATAAATGCAGCGGGAAAGAGCGAAATAAAAATAAACTAGAGGTTACCTCACTTGTCTATTTATTATATTCATGTTATATACATATCACATATATTAAGATTTAAGATCGCAAGACTTTTAATTTAGTAACGGAAAACTCCGATATTTGACCTGAGATATAATATTGGGTATTGTAAAATTATCTTTTATAAAACGACACACCTGATACTGGACAGGAGACAAAATTATGGTTTTTTTTATGTTTTGAGATTATATTTAAGGAGCTGACAAACCTTATATTTGACAGGAGACAAAATGACCGGTATTTTGTGTTGTAAGATCTCATTTTATACAAACCTTATATTTGACAGGAGACAAAATGACCGGTATTTTGTGTTGTAAGATCTCATTTTAGACAAACCTTAATTTTGACAGGAGACAAAATATCCGGTATTTTGTGTTGTAAGATTTCATTTCAGACAAACCTTATATTTTACAGGAGACAAAATGACCGGTAGTTTGTGTTGTAAGATTTCATTTTAGACAAAACTTATATTTGACAGGAGGCAAAATGACCGGGATTTTGTGTTGTAAGATCTCATTTTAGACAAACCTTATTTTTGACAGGAGACAAAATGGCCGGTATTTTGTGTTGTAACATCTCATTTTATACAAACCTTATATTTCACAGGAGACAAAATGACCGGTAGTTTGTGTTGTAAGATTTCATTTTAGACAAACCTTATATTTGACAGGAGGTATGTTGACGGTTGTCTGTGTTGGAAAATAATCACTCGAAATATGAAGAAAAGAAGCACCAATTTGAAAATATTGTTCGGAGATGCAAAAGACAAACAAAGTAAACATTTACTGTCTAAATTGTTAAAAAAGAAAGTTGTTCCGAAAAATAAACGTAGAATACAGCGAGAATAGAAAGACCTGACATTTGACAGAATACATACTGATGTGTTTCCATGTTGCAGTATATGTTTAATCTTCTGGCATACCTGTTTATACATATGTTTCCATAAGAGAACATTCATGTGTTTTCTATTACTTTATTTTGGTATCTTTTTAGCTGTCTTTAGGAACTGATAGTGTTCCCGCATTGTCAAAGTTCGTGTATTGCATACAGATATACAGTACATATTTATATGTACTTTAAGCAATGCACAGTACAGTTTCGGCATGCACCGTGAATAGATAACAGGGGCTCAGAAGGGGTAACTATGACTTGGTTCAAGTTTTGGAGCTAGATTTATGAAAACCAAAGACTCGGAAGCATTGTTAAATTTTATTAAAAAATCGTTTTTCTTTTTATAGAAGCTGATGTTTTTGACAGACATGCCTCATTTCATTGGCAACTATACATCATTTCTTATGTTTTGATTAAAATGGTGGCTGTCGTTCCCTAAAGTATACATTATTATACAGCCACGATGATTGAAACCTTCAGATAACATTATGGCACACGGAAGATGAACGTAACACACACATGTTATTGCACCTTTAGATATACAAAGTAGGCCAAAAATGAATTACACTGCATTTTACAACTGTATTGTCCTTCTTAGACTCATCGATGATGCGAGGGGCCAAAAAGTTGGAAATCAAAAATGTTTAAATTACTGTTGAAACAGAGGGACAGAAGCGATAAACACGTTTATTACGAACTCAAAAATCCAAAGGAGTACTTATTAAATTTCTTTTTTAATAATCTTTAAAGTGAGTATATTATGAACACTGGTAGTACTACTTAGAAAAAAGACGTAACTGTGGCCATCAAGATTACAGCAAACCTCGAGAACTAAAGAATCAACCAGAGGAATCTACTTCCTTTTATCTTGAAAGACGAACTTATCACACACACACACACACCGGCAGTTGGGGATCGGGAAAAGAATGCACCTGCTGTTACCCATCGCATGTGTCGTTGGAGGCGACTAATGATGGAACCCCCTGTAGAATCGAGGATTTGCTTTGGTGACCTCTATATGGGGACACAAAAGCGATCAAAATAAATCTGCTGCACCCATTGCAATATTTGGGATCTTTATCTTTCTTTCTACTTCTAACTACCTTTTATTTCCAAGCGCCTTGCTTGGCAACATCTCACTTTTGACCTTAATGTTGAGCGTTCGCCCAGGTGAGGAAGGCAATGAGTTCTGTCCCCAGACCTGCATATACAAAAGTCCTTAAAAATGGTAGTTGCTATTCCCTGCTTAACGTTCAGCATTTAGGGGAATGGGGAACTGGTTCACCTGTTGTCAGTATAATGTGACCGGGCGGAATGCTGTGCTGGGTCCTTCGGCATGGTATTTCAGTGAGATAGCACTATAAATTCGGCATCAGATTCACGCTATCACAAGGAGGCAAGCACACCAGTATACCCTG